GCCCTATGTGCTTTGCTCGTAGTAACTCATTTCTCTTCATGTCAGTCCCCTTCTCCCCATTTCACAAACGAGGAAAGGAAGAACCAGAGAGGGTAAGTAGCCTGCTCCACAGTTACTCAGCTGGGAACTGGCAAAGTCTGGATTCTGCTCCAGGCAGCATGCTTCCAGAACTCCTAATGGAAGCCCCCAGCAGGGGGCACCTGACTTGGGAGGTGCCAAGGAAGGTTTCCAGAAGCAGCTGAAACCCAAAGGATGGACAGTTAGCTAGGGAAGGTGTGATAATGATGTGCCAGGCAAGACGCTGGGAAGGAAACCACTAAGCCAATTGAATTCCCTTGCCCTGGTTTTCCATTCAGTGTTAAATCTTCTAGTGAACAGAAAAACACTCACCTTCCTTGCTCAGACTTTGTCCTGTTTATGTTTGGGTTTCTTGTCTGTTTAATCAAAGATAAGAGCTTTTGCATTTTCTCCTTCAGTTATAACAACTAACTTCAAAGTTAAATTGAGCCACTGGTTTCTGAGAGTTTGTTCATATCCCTCAGACTGTAAATTTCTTGAGTCTGGGGTGCCTGTTTCTTTCTCTTCCACCGTACCTCCACAGCACCTTATAGCTATTTGTCAAATAAATGAATGAACAAAGTAAGAGAATGACTTAGCCTAAGAAGTACACTTAGAATAACTACACCTCAAAGTTCTCGTTGCCTTATCCTTGTTCTTTGAGATACTAGGGCCATCTTACTCTCATCAAGCTTGAAATTTTTATTTCATAATGAGTGTTGATTTATTCATCATGAACCTTCTAGAATTCCTCAAATCAAATACACACACATACATATTGTTGTTGTTTAGTCATTAAGTTGTGCCCGACTCTTTGCAACCCATGGACTGCAGCACACCAGGCTTCCCTGTCTTTCACTATCTCCTGGAGTTTGCTCAGACGCACATCCATTAAATCAGTACATATTCTTTTTCAACATGATAAGAACTCAAAAAAACCTTCATGAACAATGTTCTAATCAAACACTCATAGGGCACCTTCTGAATAGTCAAGGCTGCTTATCCAAAGAGTAAATGATCTGTAAATCCCTGCACTATAAGCAGTGGTTCTCAAGTTTTCCTGCATAAGAATCATCTAGGACGCTTTTAAAACATACCCATGCACCAAGAGATTCTGATTTAATTGTTCTGAGAGAAGGCCCAGACATCAACTTCTCTTAATGCTCCCCAAATAGTTCTATTGTGCTGCCATCATGGCAAACCACCCCCCCGACAGTGGTTACCCAGGAGTGAGTCAGAGGACAGAGATTGTTGGGTAGAGTGAGGAAGCCCTCAGCTCTGAGAGTGTGACCAGCATAGAGGCAGAAGACAGCTTTCCTGTAAGGCTCTCTTCCTGGTCCCTTGACTCCTGGCCACAGCATTTCCAGGCACTGTGAGAAGACCCAAGGCACTCGGCCCAGAGGGAGAGGTAGGAAATGTTCTTGGATGCGTGCTGGTCTCACAGGGCTTCACCCACAGCCTCCCAACTGCAGGCTATCTGCTGTGGTTTTCATGACATAGCTGCAAGCAAGGGTCTTCTTAGTCAGTGGTCAAAAAGAAGAAAAAGAAAACTACTATTTTCAGCATCAGCAGTGAGGAAGGGATGATCTTCTCCCTCTATTCCAGACAGGAAGAGAAAGTTATCTGTTTCCCAGGGGAGAGCTGGGGGTTGGGGCAGCAGCCACTGTGCTGGAGGGGAGGTGAGAGAAAAGCTGGCCACGTTGGCCAGGAGCAACTTCATCCCATTCTTGGATGTTCTCACCAGGCTGGAGAAAAGTGGCCACAGAAGCAAAAGGGGGAAATTGGTCATTTGCATCAGCTCTGTCTCCAGCTGGGGATGGTCAACAGCAAGATCTGAACCCGGCATCTGCGTGGATGCCCACAGAAACTGTACACAGGATATGGTGTGTGTGTGTGTCTCTGTGAGTGTTTTCTAAGAAAAGGTTTCTGTTTTTCATCAGCGTCCTAAAGATTAAAGACGAAACTGGCCCCAAGCAACATCTGCTCAAAGATGAACACCTATGTGTCACCTAAACATCTTGCCCCATCAGATTTGTTTAACTGGATGCAGCAGGACTCAGCTACAGCAAATTGCAGACGTGAATGAAATTCTTCCTCTGTGCTCAGTCCAGGGGTGTAAATTCCCCATGTTCAGGTGACCTGAGAACATTTAATTGTCACCAACCAGCTTTGTCTTGTACCCCAGCTCAGACATTTCCCTCCCTCTCCCACCGACACAGGGGTTTTCTTGGATCCCCCACATCTCTGTTCTTTCCTTCTGCCCTGTGCACCCAGACCTGAATCCGTTTTTTCTGTCTCATTCCATCCTTGAGCTCCAAAGTTTGAGGAACTGTAATGTTAGTCTTGGGGCTCCCAGGTGGCACTAGTGCTAAAGAACCCGCCTGACAATGCAAGAGACAGAGGAGACTGGGGTTCGATTCCTGGGTTGGGAAGAACCTCTGGAGGAGAGAATGGCAACCCACTCCAGTATTCTTACCTGAAGAACCCCATGGACAGAGGAGCCTGGCGGGCTACTGACCACTGGTTCGCACAGAGTCTGATATGACTGAAGTGATTTAGCACGCACAATGTTAGTTTTGTGACAGCCTTCTAAATCCTAGTTACGTGTCACTCTCAGCATTCTGGGCTGAACTTCCAAGGTCATGGGCAAAGGAGCACTGAATAAGTCAATTTTTCCTCCCTGGGGGCAGACCAATGCATGTTTCAGAACAGTCATGAGGAGGACACATTGTTTTAGAGAAAACCATTAGCTTTAACACTATTTATTGATGCTACCCTCTAAAAAAAATGAGACAACTGCCTAACTAGTTCTAGATATGAGAGAGAAGAAATCCTAATTATTCTCATTTTACATAAGCGCTTATTAGGCAAGCCTAATTCCTACATGGCACAATAATGGTGGGTCATTAAGTGGGTCAGTTTCCTTCTCTTTCAAAGCTGAACTTTATTCAGGTATGTCAGCCTTGAAAGCTTGCTGATTCTGGGGCAGGACCGTCTGCTTTCAATTTAGGGGGAAAAAAAATCATTAGAGGAGAATGTTGGCCTAGACAAGGAAGCCAAGGAGGGGAAAGGAGCCAAGTGGGCCAGAGACCTCTGCTTCCTTCATGATTGACTGTATGACCTTAGGCAGGTCAGTTTACCTCTCTGGACTTCCCCCCTTCTCCCCAGGGCAGGATGCACTGGGTACTGGTTTTAACATTTTTTTTTCTTTAAGCAGTATCCCCCCCCCCTTTTTTTTTTCCCCCATACAAAACATATATGAAAACTCAAAATATAAATCAGGTGAAAGAGGAACTGTTTAAGGCTGCCTTTGGGGTGTTTTCACAGAACCCTGGGATTCTTTGCTCATCCTAGGATCTGTGACATGGTCAGAACAGGGCAGGGCTAAGAAGTACCTCCATGTACCTCTCAGCTTTGGAGCGAGGGCCCAGAGTTTAACACCCACTTGGTGGGAACATTCATAAGTGAACCCGGACAAGACCCTGAAGCCCCCCTGCTAAAAAACAGGTGGAGGAAAACATTTCATTCTGAAAGCCTGATGGTAGTGGTTAAGATGCATACTTGGAGTTCTCAAAAAAAAAAGAATAAATTCAAGGATGTTATTTCAAATCTACCTCTCTAGATTGCTGGATGGGATTAAATGAATTGACTCAGTTGTGTCCCAGTTTTAAAAGAGGCAGTTTTGAAACCTGTGGTCTCTCAAGCTGTAAAATACTAAGCCATTCATTTGTCCTAAAGACACGGCAGCCTCTGAACTCAAGAATACCACAGGAATATCACACCACTGCAAATTACAAGGTGGTGCTGAGTCTTTAAAAAAAAAGAAATAGAAACAAAAGCACTGCTCTGTTTTCGAGATGCACATTTGATATGAGCTAATCAAATAGTTTTTGAGATTACTTTCCTGGAGGCAGAATTATTCTGCCCAGCTAGCCCTTCAGTTTCCCCGCTTTGTTGTATCTATCTATGTATAAACACAAGGCGCATATAGTGAATTTTTCTCACTGAAGTTTCTGAAGACAAGGCCTTTTTGTCATGGATAAATGCAGGGCCAGTCAACCTTACAAAAGGAGTCATTTAATGCTCAATTTCCCCAACTTTCCTATGATTAAAAACTTCTAACCTCAAATGCCATTACTCTGTTCGAGATTGTTTTCTTTCACCCTCCCCCCAACAAATGTTTAAATTGTCTCTACTCTGGAGGATTCCCTTTTCTCCAATCTGACCTTGAAAACAGAGCGGCTCTCCTATTCACTTACATGCCCTAAACTATTTTAAAATCAAGGCCCTCTGACCTTTTCACAACACTCTTCTTGTCTGACACACCAAATGCTCCTCTGAAAGTCCAGAGGAGCTAAAGGGTCTGAAGGGTTGGAAAGGGGGAGGGAGGGATGTACTATATATTTGGCATCAGTTCAGAAATTCAGAAAATGTTTGTGCAACCACTCCCCCAGCCAGGATCCACCGCACCCCCTGCCTTCCAGCACATTAATAAAAAAAGATGTGAGCGGACGAAATTGGAGAGCCCTGGAGGGACACCTAAGGCGGTCATAATTACGTGCCCAGAGAAGCCCACTGAACAGCATCCTTCAGGTCCAGCCCTCATCCTTCCCCTCCGACATCCAAAGTTTGGGAGCGGGACCTCTCGCGCCCTCGCCCCCCCCACCCTCCAGAGCAGCCGGTCAGACGGGTGGCAGCGCCGCCCATTAACGGCTAGTGTGACACAAACGGAAGGAGTGACATAACCTCTGCACGTCGGGGTGGCAGCGTTATGCACCTTAAGATCATATATGTTTTTTGTTTAAAAAAAGCACCACGAGCGCACAGGCCTGGAATACATTAACTTGTGAACTGAATGCAACACGCCCTACGAGAGTCTCCCTCTCTCGCTCTGAAACAAAAAGAAGCGGTGGGGGGTGGGGGGTGGGGAGAAGGCACTTTACCATCCTGTCCTGAGCTCTCCAGATACTCCGTCAGGTCACAGCCGAAGGCGCTGGCGGCTCCCTTTCGTTTCAGCTTCTGCTTGGCACCCTTGTTCTTCATGAGTTAGTCCCAAAGAGGTTGCCCCCCCGTCTCGCCCTCCCCTCTCTGCTTGGCACCGCGCCTACGATGGTCTCCGGGGGGAGGTTAGATCAGTGGCTGCGGCGCGGCGCTGGGGGGCCGCAGGGGCGTGGGGGAGAGCCTGGGCCCCGGGGCAGCGCGCATGGAGCCCGCGGGGCGCGGAGCCTGAACTCCACGGCGCGCTCCTCCAGGGCCGCGGTGCCGCAGGCCGTGCGGAGCTGGCAGCGGCGGCGGGCCGGCGCGCTGGGACTGCCACTTCCTCACTTGGAGTCCCCGGGACTTTCACGGCCTCCCGCGGTGTCTTCTTCGGGTGTTTTCCTCCCCTTCGGAGGGAGGGCGAGCTCTCCGGGGTCCGCCTTCTCGAAGCCCGGGGAGTGGCCGAGAGCGCAGGGCAGCCGGCGGCGGCGAGGGGCGCGGAGACCGCCCGGGGGGGCTGCCGTGGGTCCTCCGCCCGGCGCGCGCTGTCCAGTCTTCAGACGGCTTGGGGAGGACGAAAATCCAGCATCCTGTCTCTCTCGCCCGCCCTCACGCCTTCCTTTTTTCCTGTCTTACAAATCCTAGGATCATCCAGCTCAGGAAATGCTGGAAGGAAGTTAGCTAGGGAGGGGGGCGGAGGGTGGAAATTTTTGGCAGCTCCGCTCTGGTGTGTGTATGGAGCCGGAGGAAGTAGGTGGGTGGGTTGAGGAGGACCGGGTGGGGGAGAGAACGCGCTCTTAGGAGAGCTGCTCGGCGGCTCTGGAGATAACTGGGCGGCTCGGAGGAAATCGCCGCGCTCCTAGGAGCACCCGCAGCCCGAACCGCCCGCTTCCTGCCCCACCGACGGCTCTTTGAAGACGCCAGAGGAGACGCACTGGCTTTCTGGTTGGAGGGGGCTAGGTGGGACTGAAAAAAATGGCCTGCCTTGTTTTTATCTTCATTGTCATCATCTCTTTGACACTTTCTATTTCGGTGCCTGTCTCCTCCTACATAAACACTTAAAGAGTAATGACAGAAACAAAGGCAGGGATTCCAGCGGAGAAACCTGACGGAAAGCGGGTTTCCGCCTGCCACTCCCACCCTCCTCTGCCGGCGCCCAGGTACCCCCAAACCAGCTAAGTCCCTCCCAAGCGGAGGGAGGAATGGATGCTGTCGCTTTGCAACCACTGCTGAGGAAATCAGTTTTCTGGTTAGAGATTCAAGCATACCACACACACACACACACACGCGTTATTGCAAAGTTTGCTAAATGGAAGTGATTTTGGGGGGCAGTCTCGGATTTAAGGTGACTCAGATATTCTACCCTAATATGGAGAAAGCAGTCTCCCAGGTTATTTCATAATTTGTCTCACGGTTTCAGGAGGGCATGTGTTTTCTTCTGTATTTAATTTGAAATTCTTTGACTTCTGTGTACTCAGCACACAGTAAGCACTCAAATTCTTATTATTTAACCATCTGAGGATTAGATTAGACTTCCTGTGTAAATTCAAATCCATATATAGACTTGAAGGGTAGGGACATTCACACAGCTCAGAAGGCTGGAAAAACTTTAGGTATAGTATTTTAGTTACTGGATCCCTTTACAGTCTCTTATCTTCCTATGTATCACCAAGATAGTTTATGAACTTTGACCCTTGACCTTCTCTCTTTGTCAGAGCTTACAGTTGATAGATAACCTGCCTGCCAAATCTGGCCCACAGATGTGTTTGGTTTAGCACATGCCATGTTTTAAAGATTTTAAAAATTAATTGCCAACATTAAAGAGTTAATATTTTTCACATATGAGATCTGGATTTCTGGCTTCCCCTGAAGAAATTGAAGATCTGGTAACATCAGAAGTGCATTCCCACATAGCAAGGACCTCTGATGCCAAGCTGTATCAACCCCCATGGACCACCACCCTGTTGAGAGAGATCAGTTGTCCAGTTTCAAAGCCACCACGGCCTGTCACGCGTTATTGCAAAGTTTGCTAAATGGAAGTGATTTTGGGGGGCAGTCTCGGATTTAAGGTGACTCAGATATTCTACCCTAATATGGAGAAAGCAGTCTCCCAGGTTATTTCATAATTTGTCTCACGGTTTCAGGAGGGCATGTGTTTTCTTCTGTATTTAATTTGAAATTCTTTGACTTCTGTGTACTCAGCACACAGTAAGCACTCAAATTCTTATTATTTAACCATCTGAGGATTAGATTAGACTTCCTGTGTAAATTCAAATCCATATATAGACTTGAAGGGTAGGGACATTCACACAGCTCAGAAGGCTGGAAAAACTTTAGGTATAGTATTTTAGTTACTGGATCCCTTTACAGTCTCTTATCTTCCTATGTATCACCAAGATAGTTTATGAACTTTGACCCTTGACCTTCTCTCTTTGTCAGAGCTTACAATTGATAGATAACCTGCCTGCCAAATCTGGCCCACAGATGTGTTTGGTTTAGCACATGCCATGTTTTAAAGATTTTAAAAATTAATTGCCAACATTAAAGAGTTAATATTTTTCACATATGAGATCTGGATTTCTGGCTTCCCCTGAAGAAATTGAAGATCTGGTAACATCAGAAGTGCATTCCCACATAGCAAGGACCTCTGATGCCAAGCTGTATCAACCCCCATGGACCACCACCCTGTTGAGAGAGATCAGTTGTCCAGTTTCAAAGCCACCACGGCCTGTCATCCCCACTTTGCACCTGCCTGGCCTCTGGAACCACTGGAGTTTGCGCCCCAAGCTCTGTGTGTGATCTTTCCTTCCATTTTCCACTAGTCTCTCAGTGACACCAGCATTGTGCCAGTCATCTTGGTGAGACATCTTCAAGTAACCACTGACTCATTTCTCTCTTTCCGCCCCCACCTCCAGACTAATCCCTCCCAGACTGATGAGTCCTTCAAAATGCCTGTCCTCTGGGCTTTTTCCTTCCAGGCCCATTTGGTGAGGACCATTCACTCCAAAACTGTTAGAATAACTCCTAGTGGGGTTTGCTGAGTGCGGTCTCTTTCCACTTCATCCTGTGCACTAAAGGCCTGTTGAATCTTCCGGAACTGTTGCTGTTGTAGTTTGCCTGCTTTGTTCAAAATTTGTCAATGACTCCCTGTTTTCTTTTTCTAGGACAGCAGTTTCTAAGCTTCTTGTAAGCTACTTGGAGAATATTTGGTAGGGTATTTAGTATAATGACTTGTTCCTTTATTTATAGAGAAGCATCTCCACATGAGACTATAATTATTGCTATTAATATTTATTTAGGAGTTTACTGTATCAAAGACCTCCATATCTGACCTACAGTGCATTTTATCATCTTGGCAGCAAAGGAGAGATGCTGAAGTGTTGTTCTTTTCCTGAGTCCAGCCCCTAAACTCAAGTTTTGGAATAAACTGTCAAGTCCTGTGAATTATCTTTCTAAAGTTTTAAAAATACTCTTTTTTAATTTTTTACGTTGAAATAATTTCAGATTATAAAAAATTTTACAAAAAATAGTCAAAGAATTCCTGTATACCTTCATTCAGCTTTCCCAAATATTAGTGTCATACAATCAGAGTATAAAGTTAGGAAATTTATATTGATACAGTAATATTGACTAATCAGCAGACCTTAATCAATATCAATTGATTTTTAATTACATAATATTTTTATTAAATATGATCTTTCTGACAATAAAGTTCACCAGTTAAATAAAGAATAATTTACAAATAATTCTAAAACACTTCCCATGATAATATCAGCTATGTACCAGATCCCATTAAGCACCATCAAACCCAGCAGGTGTAGGTTGTCACAAAATAAGTTTTCCTAGATGAATTATAAAGCTAATGACTGACTCAGCCCAAAGATTCTTCTGTGCTTTACTGAGGACTCCCCAAAGAGACTCCACAAGCACAGAATTTTCCTTTTGGAACAGCCTGAGACCTTTCCACGCCTGCTTCATGATAAGCTGGGTTTGTGGATTGTTTAGGATTCAGGGTCAAGGTAATACTGAGCACTGGACAAGGCATCCATTATGTCTGGACCAACTGAACAAAACCTTATTTGAAATGTGTACATGGTGATTCTCTGTCTCTGATAGCTCTTAACTGTCTACACCTCATGGTGGGAAGCACTCACAATTTATCAAGTTGGATAATGAAGCTACATGGTGCCAGGCTGACCCAGGGAGCTAGAAAGTCATCCTCTCCCCATTTGCTCTCTCCCTAGTGGTGAGTAAGCCCTATGATAAGTGCTGAATTTACATCTAGCCCTTGTTCTGGACATTCACTATGTTTCTTTCTCTTCCCATTGTTCTTTTCCCTCTTCCTTACTTTAAGATATGTAGCTTTTTCTGGATCTGTGGAAGGAAGTCAGATTTGGGTTCCAATGGGTTTTTCCACTGGACTAAGGATTTCCCAGAAAGTTACAAGGAGACAGTGTAGGAATGTTAACAGGAGGACTAATTAAGCTATTTAGTGATAATACAAATTATGCCTTTAGCAGATTATCATGATGTAAAAAGCACTTTACTCACATATAACTCCCAAGGAAGAGTTCTGTCCTTTTCTGTGATTTAGCTTGGGTTTCCCAGGTGGCACAGTGGTAAAGAATCCACCTGCCAACGCAGGAGATGCAAAAGACATGGGTTTGATCCCTGGGTTACAGTCCACGGGGTTGCAAAGAGTTGGACACAACTGAGTGACTGAGCACTTGTTATTTCTTATCTGCAGTTGGTTAAGACTGATGCTTATCAAACTGTGCCATCTGCTTCTTTGACTCACCAAGCTTGGAAGCAATCTTCTCTGATGTATATAAATAGATGAGAGTGAGAGTGAGTATTAGAAGTGAGTGAGTATTAATACTCACTGAGAATGAATATTAGAAGATTTTTAAAAATTGAAGTCTAGTTGATTTACAGTGTTGTCTTAATTTCAGCTGTACAGCAGAGTAATTCAGTTATCCATATACACATTCTTTTTTAAGATTCTTTTCCATTATGGTATATCACAGGATATTGAATATACTTCCCTGTGCTGCACAGTAGGATCTTGTAGCTTTTCATTATTTATATAATAGTTTGCATCTGCTAATCCCAAACTCCCACTCCATCCCTCCCCCATCCCACCCAGTACTGGGAG